TTACTGTGTTGTTCTCAGAGAGCCTGGAGGGAGGCATTGAGGGTCTTTATTCTTCCTGTGTCTGGAGGGGAAGTCTGAGAGCACAGCTCATGGGCCACAGCCTCCCCTGCTGGTATGCACCTTACTGTTTCTAAGCAAGCATTTTCTAACAGGCGTGGAGTTTTAGAACCCAAGTTCTAGTGAGTAAATAGTATTTCTACGACAAACATATGAGGAAATATTGTCGGTACCATGGCCGGGAGGTTAAGGGTGACATTTGTAGGGTAACAGTAAATGATATTGAGGTCAACCATCTCAGGAGAGTTATTGATTGTTTGTTATTTGGGGGAAGGGGTTGGGTGGGGTTACTGTCCTCACAAAGGGAGCTAAGTGGAAACTGAAGTGCATGTTGAGCTAGAAGAGACTCACCCTCTGGGTTAGTGCCCTTTATGTTGAAATGTTATGACCGTCATATAAGTATTTCTAAATAATTTTTATTTTATTTTTAAAATATACTTTTATTGATTTCAGAGAGGGAGAGAGAGACAGAAACATCAATGATGAGGGAGAATCCCTGATAGGCCTACCCCTGCACATCCCACACTGGGGATCGAGCCCACAACTCAGGCAGGGTTCCCTGACCGGGAGTTGAACCATAACCTCCTGGTCATAGGTTCATGCTCAACCACTGAGGTACGCCAGCCAGAATCTAAGTCATTTCAATCTGTTTCCTTATCCTTTGGACAAATGCCCTACACACACCTTTGTAACCCTAAAGGCACGTGAGTCCACTAATTTCATTTCCTCACAAAGTGTCTCATTAGAGAATATTGTGATTTGGGGCATATGATTTCAGCCATCATTTAACAAAAGCCTGAGTTATGCATATTATGGCTTACCATTGTTGTCTTCACAATAGCATGAGCTGCCAGTGGTTAAGGATCTATTATGTGAGCAATTACTGTTTTACCTCATTTCTGCTCAGCCCTCCTGTGAGGCAGTTGGGGGCCATTCCCATTTTGCAGGCAGAGATCTGGAGGCTCAGAGAGAGGAAGTGACTGTCTGAGGCTGCACAGCCAGCCCGTGCACAACGGTGCCAGGTCTGTCTGACCAAGAGGCTGCTGCCCTTGTGTTTGCAGACATGCTAGCCAAGCAGAGCGCCCAGCCTCAGGGCTGCCATGACTAACCCCATGACCAACTGGCTTAGGGACAAGTGGGGCTTGGGCACAGGAGGCAGGATCAGTGCTGGCAGCTGAGAGAGAGCGGGGACAGGAGGACTCACACCAGGAGAA